TGCTGCATTTGAGTATCCTGCGTCGCTGCCACCTGCATCTGCAGCGTCGTCAAAGGGTCCCGTTGCTTCTCTGCTGTCTTGCTGCTGCTGCTGCTCTTCTGCTGCTGCTGCTGCTGCAGCTGCTGCATCAGCATCTCCTGCCTCACTGACATCTCCCTCTGCTGCGTCGTCTAGGGGCCCCAGTGCTGCGCTGCTGCCCTGCTGCTGCTGCTCAGACCCTTCACCGCGCCGGAGAGAGCTGCCGCCTGCATGCAGCTCTTCAGGTGTCTCCGCACCTTCCTCAGGTTTGTCTTGAGCTGCTGCTGCAGCGTCTCTGCTGTCTGCATCGATTGACGCCTGGGGGACAGGGGTAGCAGCCTCTGTCTCTCCTGCTGCTGCTGCTTCTGCTGCTGCTGCTGCAGAGGCATATGCTGCTGCTGAGTCTTCAGCTTCTGCTGAATCTGCTCCTGCTGCTGCTGCTGCTGCTGCTGCTGCTGCTGCTGCTGCTTCTGCATCCTCTTCTGCTGCAGCAACAGAGGCGTCACCGCCCATTCCCTCTTCTCCTTGGCTTCCTCCCCCCTCTCTAGGAGTATTCCTGTTGCTGCTGTTGTTATCTGCTGCAGCATTGTTGCTGCTGCTGTTCCTGCTGCTGCTGCTGCTGAGCTTACTAAGCCGATGAGAGGCCTCTTCTGTGTGTGAGCCTTCTCGCTCTTGCTCTGTCTCTGCACGCGGGCTGTTGTTTATATCTGCATATACACCTGAGGTGTTTGTCTTCTCAGCTGTATCGAGAGCTGCAGATACACCTGAACTCCCACCGTCGGCGCTACCGCCTGTCTCCTCTGGCCCCTCTTCTTCCTCTCCCTCGCTACCACCAGCAGCAGCAGCAGCAGCAGCAGCAGCAGCAGTTGGGGTCTCCTCTTGTTCAAACTCAGATGCCCCTGCTGCTGGACCCTCCTGGCTGCTTTCTTCTGCCTGCGCCATTCGCTCCTCTTATCCTTATAAAAAAAAAAAAAAAATAAAAAAAA